CAGGATTGAGATTTTCTTTAGTTGAAAATAAATCGCAAATTTTTAAAAACCCTAAATCTGCAATATCTCTACGATACACAGATTTCTTATCAATGCAGAGAAGCTTGTTATTCCAAATAACTTCATTTGCAATTTCATGTAGCAAGCTGGGCGTTTTTGCATTTACTTCTGACCACGCATCGAGATATTGCTTGTAGAAACTTGGTAGATAAATTAATTTAGAAGTATCAAAATTACAATGCAATACGAGCTTCCCACCAACCGGGATAAGAACCTCATTTAACAGAGCTTTCCACGGACTTTTATAGTCTTCCAAATATTTTTTTATACATATCACTCGTCTGGTACTAAGCCACCCTTCTCAACTTCCGAAATCATCACATTTCGTTTTACTTTATCTTACTTTATGTCGAAGATGCCATAATTGGTAACAGACCCTTTGAAATAGCTCCAGGGTTCGAACATTTTAAGGTTGATGAACACTCTTGGACATATGATTGGTCGGAAGAGAAAAGGCAAAAGCATTTAAGGGAGTTCCATGAAGCCCTTCCAGTCGTAACCAAGGTGCCAAGAGGAGGCATTTACAGCCAGCAAAATGATTTGGGACTTAAAGAAAGTGGGGAAGGACGTCAACAAGACCCTGAAGGTGGGGAAAGTCCCCCTGAAGAAACGAGGGAAATGCGTGAGGAGACTTCAACAGCACATTCACTCTCCATTCCTTTTTGTGAAACTGGCTTATCCTCAGTTTTCTTACCATCATACAACAAAGCTGCGTGCTTGCTTCTTAGCCACACTAACATCGTGGAAGCTCCAGGAAATCATAAAGGTTTTCTTGTTGCAAGTGATACCGGGGCAACTCCTTATTTTGTGGCGGTAAAGAAAAGTCTGCATTTGTCAGTGTGAAGGTTTTAAAACCGCCTCTCTTTGTTCTCATTCACTTGCTGTTGCGGATCATATTGCCAAACTGCACGAGTACCTTTCCTGGTTTCATTCTTGCGGTGGTCCAAACATCACTGCAGCAGCGTCTACGTCCGCACCCAAGAATGCAGGGAAAAAGCCTGGCAAGTCTCGCATTCGGCGAACTGGGGCCATCGCATCATCAAGAAATGATGACAGCTATGTAGATAGGCGTCCGTACGTGGAGACTGCAAATGTCGAAAATGAGCAGCCATACCACCTTAAATGGCTAGACAAGACGACAGCTAGAGTATGCTATGGTTGCGGAGGAAAACTTTGACCTTCTGATTTGAGTGTGCCCCCTCCTCCATTTGACGTGGTAGTGTCAACTAAAGAGTATCATTCTTGGTATGACAAGTCAACAGGAACAACAAAAATTACAAAGAAACTGGAGGCCACCCACTACCACGTAAATCCCGTTTGTCTCTGGGCAAAAAATGTCGATTTCCAAGCATCGCTTCATGTAAGCATCAATTCCGAAGATCGCCAAAGGATGCTCGATGTCCAGAAGAATTTTTTAAAGCAGTCTTCGAACATCACCATTATCTAAGACCGAAAGGACATTAACATTGTGTTACCACTTAACAAACATATTTCATGACAATGACATGTGCAGTTTTAAAGTTTTAAACACAAGGAGAGAGGACGATGGATTTCCCTTTATGAGCTTTTCCCTCCTCTGAACAAAGTGAATGTAAACAAAGAATTTGTGTTCGAAGGATTCCAGTTAGCTTGTACCTAGTCTGGGAGGTACTCCCATACATAGGCTGTGTGCCGCCTAGTAGGGAATGGTTTATGCTCAAATCAGGTTACATTTTTACCCATTGTTACTATTTAGTTTTTAATTTCCCCCTTGACAAGGGTGTCATTTTCGGGTTTGAGCCTTAATATGTTATCAATCTATGTTCGTCTCATATTTTATAGTGTCAGGGTTAAGACCCTGGGCGGCACACACCTATTCGAAATTTATGGGATTACCCCTCCCACCCCTCCCCAGCATGCCAAAGTTTGGAATAATATATAATGGTTACGTTCCTGTTATTGAAGTTCTAACCTTTCACTTCCTTGTCAGTTAATGAATAAAAAGTTTATGTTAACTGATACATTTCAAGTTAACATTCCTTGGAACATCAAATCAGCTTAAAATTCCTGTGACTTGGATACGCCGATGTATGTTGACACAATTCAGGACAATTTGACCTGTACAACTAAAGAAAAGTGCTAGCAGCAGCTCGCCAAGCCATGACGTGAAGTAATCTACACCTGTCTTACCAGTCCGTAAACAACCCCATTACCCTTTCATGTTGCAAAACATTAAGATAAAACGTCTTAAGAGTGAATGTCCACTAACGTCGAGCAAGGGGTGGCACATGATGAAAAATCAAATTTTTTCATTTTTTGTCTTAAGATACCGTATGGTGGTCCGAGAAACGTGGTAGTGTTTTTTTATTGAAATGTTCTTTTGAACGCGAAAAAATTAATAAAAGCCTGTTTCTGCCCCAGGTGTCGTGAAAATATGCGAAAAAAACGTGTTTAACACCTTCTAGTAAACTTCGTCCTGTTTAATTCGCGTCTAAGGGAGACTCTCAGAAAAGGTCAAAAAAGATATTTTGAATGTTTGCAAGTTATTTGAGTACAGTTTTAAGCCTGTGGATTTATTTTTAAGGTCATGGTGATCATCTGAAATTCACCGAAATTCGCTTGCCTAAAATTCTAAATTTGATGCCCTTTTTCAAAAGAAAGTTTCATTGCCCGGTAAAACACCGAATCACTTGAAACTAAGAATTCTCAAGAGAGAAAATGAGGTACTAAAATGTGATGTAATTTTTTTCTCCGGGCTTTCTATTAGCGCCCTGTGCCAGCGCTCTAAAAATCTCGAAAATCACAAACTTATAACATGTCAACATCTGGAAACCGTAAACAGACGCGCCGAACAAATTTCCGAAACTTGGAGATTTTGTATTGTTTCTCTCGTTTTTTCGATGAAAAACAAAGCAGATATAGGTCTTTCAGCCTAGTTTGAGTAAGGAATATCAGAACACCAGGCTCTGAACGAAACAGTGCTAGTGCTATCCCTAAACGTGGAGTCTAAATTTACACCCACCCGATCTTATCTCTTGTTGACTCAGCTAATGAAATTCACACCATTGCTAAATGGAAACTAAAGTGCAAGCTTTTGGCTGCAGTAATTTATTTCTCAGGTCAGAAAAAGAAAAATATCTATGGAATATTTTCCATAGTCTACAAAGTCATGTCAGCAAATGAACTCTTGTCGAATTTTGACCAAATTTGCCCGTCACACAAAGGATTTCCTCGAGTTCGCCTAAAAAGGTTTTGTCACGCGATTACCAAGGAGGGCTAAAAACAAAGCAAACCAAAACAAAGCATCCACCGAAAGACTACGAAGTCTGAAAAAAAGTATTTCAATGCCCCTTAAAAGTGGGCGGCACATATATGAGGCTTTTTTATACGAAAAGGGAGTACTTATATTAATTGTACTCGTGGAGACGCCTCAAAACAAACGGTGCAAAGTCATAAATAACATTCACTTCTCGTTTCATTTTGTTTATTTAAAACTATAGCAAAATGAGGCCAAACAAAACGACCCCTTTTTCTTTCTCGTGATACATGAAATATCAAAGCTTATTTTTTCCTCCAATAATAAGTCTGACTCTCGTATGAAAACAAACAAACAGACAAAACGTTCTACAAATACAGACAATATTTGCAGAGCTGTAATCTAATAATCGCCAGTAAAGCTGAGTACGAAAAATTTCATGTTCAGAGTTTGTAGAGTTTGTTTTGGGGCTTTGAATGGAAGTCAGTTGTTGTTTTCAGAAACTAGTTGGAGGCGTTTGCGCCTCTGACAAACGATATGAAGGAACAGTTGTTGTGCCGCTATCTTCATGTCAAAAAGATATTTTAGGTCACATGCGCAGTGTTGGAGTTAGCGACATCAGCTGTGAAGTTGAGCTTGTTTTAGCGCGCGCATCAATATTTTCTCCTCCGCGCGACATTTCGTCTTAAACCATTTGCCCATCTCATCGCTCTTCCCTGGGCATTGGCTGGCGCCGAGGTGCTCATCAATGTCGAGTACCACCAGGGCTATCAAAGCATGCTTCGAGAGGAAAAACGAGAAAGGCGGACCGTGGAATAAGCAAGTCGGAATCCAAAGCTATTTTAAAACAAACAGGTGTTTTTGTTCAGGTAGGCTCTGGTAAGTACACTTTTCGTGCTTACTTCTCTGTATTTTAATCAGCTGGCGGATGTAATCAGTGTACCAGACCGTAGTAGAAAAACCTTGCTAGCATTGTCAACAAAAGTGACCAGTGATTTGTTTCATTCCGTTGCATAGGTATATGCCGTGACTGCAGGCCGACTATTGATGTTAAAGAAAAAACATTGGAAGATGTGCCAAAAACTACTCTGAACGTCGCAGACATTAGTGAGGGCATCGGAAAAATTATCTTGGTAAGTTTGATCATTTTGATGACTTGCATAATTCTGGCCCTTAAAGCATTTATTAAATTAACTAAATTAGGCGCCTTTTTGTTTAATTATGCTTTGTCGCTCTTTATAAGAGAAAGTCAAGTTTGCTTCACGCAATTAATTACTGTGAATAAAAATATGTCGTAGGGATCCGTTTCGTTAGGACTAATATTATCCACCTTGTCCCCTCCTAAAAAATAGGGAAAGCCTTTAGAAACAAGATAGTAAGATTACAGAAACACCGATGAGAATGTACTTTAAGACACTATTTTCGTTTATAGAAAAAGGATTCCCTACCAGTGCACAGCACTCCCATTACACCAGGAGGGAGTTTTTATCTTCCCCCGTGCGAAGACACATTCAGCGACGTCAGTTTCGACGATGTACAAGTCTCTCAGAATAGGCCTCTAGATGCTTTGAATACATATTTGGTTTCCAGAGATGTTAGTCCCGTTAGGTCTCGGCTACAAACTTCGTGGGAAAAGGCAAGTGGACGGACAAAGCGCTACTATACACGGAAAGCTAGTCAAGGTGTGGCAGCTTTAGTACAAGATATGACACCACATAAAACCGGCTCCTTGTTCAGCGCACTGTGTTCTTCAGACGCGCTGCGCCGCCAGCTCTCTGATGAGGAAGATTCAGATCAGGACAACATGGACGTGACGCTAATGGAGGCACTTGCCGAATGTTACCAAGCTGCTAGTCGCTGGGAGACGCGCCGCCAGATACTTTCCATCATGGCAGATAAGGTGCGTTACAAAAGACTCCTCAAGTTTATCCCTGGTCTGACCAAATATCGCTTCACAGAAGCCAAACGTCACTGTTTGACCTATGGAAGAGGAGCTCCAGTACTGTCAGTAAGAGCACCTAGGACAGACGTTACCTTCTCACAGATAGAACATTTTACCGCGTTCATAACAAGCTCGCAAATTGTACAAGATCTGCCATTCGGAGAAAGGTCCATAACACTTAGCAACAAAGAGACCATTAAGATCCCAAACGTTATCAGAATGATGATTCCTGAAAGGGTGGTAAAACAGTACCTGGCCTACTGCGACGAGTCTGGTTTTAAGCCTCTTAGCCACAGTACTCTTTTGCGTATCCTAGCTGTCTGTCCTGCCTCTATTCGAAAATCACTTCAAGGCCTAGACTACATAAGCTCAGCAGGTGCGCAGGCATTTGAAGACCTGATTGACATTGTAGAAAGACTTGGGGACGTTGGACAAGGCATGGGATGGACCAAGAACCTGCAGACTCACCTGCGAGATCGACGGAAAGCGATACCTCAAAAGTGATTACAAGGTAGGTAAAATACCATCCCTTCACATTTTTGGCCTAAATCTTCATTTCATATTAGTTTTCTTTGCAATGGGCGCCAGAAACTTTTCAAGCGCTGCTTATTGCGTCGGCTTTTGGCGGAAATGTGTCGGCCACCAAGGTAGATAGCGCTAGCGGGTAAGGGTAAGGTTTCTTACGCAGAATTACATAATGTGATTGTTTTTTATCAGTTTTGTATCAGTCTGTTTGCGTCTTTTTCCACTTCCAGTTAACATAGTAAAATCCAGTGCAAAATGTTAGATTTTCCGTTATCAAATAGGCTACCATCCTTGGTAGTACGCCAGGCGCACCCAAGCTCATTCTCATCGGGTGTGAAAAGACGACCACATGGCGCGCATCCGAGTGGTATCCGCAGCACTGACGATAACACCGAAACTGAAGAAGAGCACTCAGCATCGCGCGAGGCACTGTTCACGTGTCCTGAGGAAGGTTGTACACAGACATTCCTGAGGCACTCCTCCATGATGCAGCCCTTGGATTGTGGAACACACAAGCGCGCTTTAGAGAACGAGACACTCTTCGACAAAGCTGCCCAACAATATGCGGAACAACTCGAGAGGCAAGCTATGGTGGTGCCAGTAGTCAGCACTGTCAGCACACGAGCAGGTCACACAGACAGCCAACCCATGGGCTGGGCACTCAAGCCACGTGCTACACGGAGGACTAGGTTCACGGCAAACCAAAAGTCGTATCTAACTACAAAGTTTAAGCTTGGAGAGCAGACCGGAAGTAAGGCAGATCCTGCAGCTGTTGCGAGATCAATGATGTGTGCAAAGGATGCAACTGGAGATAGATTGTTTTCAAGCGACGAGTTTCTTACAGCAACCCAAATAGCTGGCTTCTTCTCACGCCTTGCTTCAAAGAAAACCCTCGAGAGTGACGATCAGGAAGGTGTAGAGGTCGCCGCACATGAGGCCTGTCTAGAAAGTATTGTTAATGAGGCTGCGAGTGAGATTGCGCCTAAACATCCTATTGTCTATGACGCCTATAATCTTTGTGAAATGGTGTCCCAAAAGAAGCTGAATGAATTTTCCATTACAGTTTTAAAGGACATTTGCACTTCCCTTGGTATTGACACTGCAGGCATAATGGTTCGACGCAAGAAGCCGTACATCGACAAAATACAATCTCTTTGTCAGGAATGCGCATGTCAACAGTGAGGCGTTCTTGGAACATTCTACTGTCTTGTATTAAGATTTTGTAATTCACAAGCGAAAACTGAAACGAGTTAGAGACAGAAACGAGTTGTGTTGAGAAAAGATAGGCAACATGTACGAGAGGCAGCAAGTCTTTTATATCGCAGGTCTAGGTTTTGAGTTCAAAAGTTCAAAAATGTTCCGCCAAAGCCCCTTAGCAGATAAGAGACGCCGAAAAACTCTGCAACCCTCTAATGTCTACTCTTTGGTGTATAGTAACTTCATTCCATAACTTTTTTTTTTCTTATTTATATCACTAAAAAATAATGGCGCATTTACATTTCACGTTCCTTATTAGTACAATGCAAGCCGAAAAGGCACATAGAAAGACCTATTTTCACAAATTCGTTTATGGTAGGTGGGTTCTTACTGTCGCCTTTAGGGTTTTGATGGGCTGGTTTTGTAGCTAAATGTACCAGTCACCAGCAGTTTTGCTACCCGTTATCGAAGGGCGGTACAACAAACTTTCACCTTGTATAAGGATGAGAGAAGTCATCTCTATAACTGATTAAGGAAATGACTCGGTCCACAAGGAGTTTGAAGAATATGTTTTGTTTTATTTTTTTCTATCTGTTTGGCACAAAAAGCACATGGAATTTTTTTTTTGTGCCACTGCACAATTTTCCCCTTTAATTTCTGATATGTACAAGCAATTATGTTTATCCCTTCCGTAAATTGCTGATTATTTTTAATGATTAAGTTGAGCCAGGAGCAATCGGCAATCAGCTTCTGGTTAAACCTAAAAATTCTGGTCAATAATATAGAGACAACGTACGCTTATTAGAATGTTTAAAACTAATTTTAGAAATAAAATTTCTCTTTATTTTTTCCCACCATATCTGCATACATTTTTTAATGAGTATTTGCGCTCCCTCTCCATAGCCTTATCACCAACTCATGAACATGCATGACCACTTCACTTACTGCGTGACGTTAGCTAAACAAACATTCCTTGAAGGAAGCTTTAGCTCAAGCATTCAGCACGAGATAAACGTTGGTAAATGGTTTTTAATAAGAGTTCAAACAGGAGATCAAGGAAAATGCTGTGAAATTTACGGTAAAACAGACTTATTTCAATCATAAATGCTCTTGCTAACATTTTAGATCATGGGACAGAAATAGAACATTCGAGTTGGTTGCTTGCAAGCGATACTGATTTTAATTGTCGAGATGGCGAAATTCAAAGATAAAATATACTCGAAACCAGATATTTTGAATGTCAGATGAGTATAAAGTTTTTCGTCATTTCTTCTGTAGTTTATGGGTGAAAAACGCTAAAACCAAGGAGAAATATCCAAGGTTTTTTGCTATTTACGTGAAGGAATGTGCCACTTGTTTACACAGTTTATGCTGTGATAATATTCGGATTTTAGAGCGTTATTACTCGCTTCTGATAAAAAGCCCGAAAATATTTTTTATACCTGGCTAGAGAACAACATTTCGTATTGTAAAAAATACTAACTTCAAAGCAATCGGCGTTTTACCGGATAGGGAAATCATACGGTGAAAAAGAGCGCCGAATTAAGAATTCTGGGCAAGCGAATTTCGGTAATTTTTGGCGGCCCGCCGAGACTTTCAAAATCAATCCAAATTAGTTTAACTGGTCTAAAATGCCTTACTAAGTGTTAAACATTTCATTTTCATGCTCCAAACAGGGTTAAGACTTGCGCGAATGAAACAGAGCAAAGTTTAGTGGAAGGTATGCTGCACGTTAATTTTGGGTGTTTTTCCGAAAACCTGGGGCATTAACGGTTTTTATTTTTTTTGTGGCATTAATAAAAACATTTCTAGAAAAAAAACCCACCACATTTCTAAGCTCACCATAGGGTATCTTTGGACGAAATATGGAGGAAATTTATTTTTCATCATGTGCCACGAATTCTCGATCCGGCTCGATCTTAGTGCACATTCCCGTCGTCGATGTGAAGATTTTTACTCATTTCCTGCCGTACTGCTGCTTCTTCTCTTTTCCCCAAAACTAGGAATGTCTTTTCCTTACTTAGTATGCTTCCTTCAGAAAACAATAGCTCGGGTTCTCGATGAGAAAAAGAGAAACGAGCCATACCATCGGCATGTTTTCTTTTACTTTCTTAGAAGCCTAGGAATAAGTTGTTTCGGTGTCAGTCATATCACAGGGTGCCCTTAGTCACAAAAGCCTCCTCGAAATAAGGATTTCTATGGGAATTAATCGTAAGATTCATAAATTGTGAAAATTCACGTAAACTGCCATTTAATGTACATACCTCAGAAAGACATGTAAAAAACGTCATTTTTAGCAAGTTTTGATGTTTTATCGATAAACTCCGGCCCTCATACTAATCATATACATAATTTAGCTTAGGAGGCTGTTGTGAGTCTAGGTGCCCTGTACACAAATTACAACTGGTGAAAACAATTTACAGTCTGCAGTCTGCGGTTTGCAGTCTGCAGTCTGCAAATGTCATACAACGGTATTTCAGGAAGTTATAATTTTATTGTACCCTTTGAACCTTTTTACGTAGGAAAACTTGTCTTAACAGCATACTACAAGAAAGGACTTGGTGGGGCCATATATGTCAAGTACACATGCTGTGGCTGTCGGGAAGTAGACATTGACTATAGGAGCAGCCAACTAGCCCTTGAGTCTAGAAGACACCTGGTGTCCTTGGCCCTTTCTCTAGCTTTTTTTATTAGTGGGCACGGATATGCTGCTTATCAGAAAACTTTAGGGAAGGGGTTGGGATTAGGTGTAACTTCAGATAAACCTTTTTTAGAAGTAATAGAGCTAGCACTCCCGTACGTCAAGGATATTTTAGATGAGATGTGTGATGATGCCAAGCATCAAATGAAACAGGTCTCATCAGATCAAATCGGTTGCTGGTCCAGAGCGGTGACATGCTGTGATGGGTGCTGGCTAATAGGGGGGCACTCCAGTGAAAATTGCACCTTTGTTATAAAAAATTACATCACAGGTGCCTTTCTTTATTATGAGCATTCGTCTATGAGAGATGAAAACAGAATTTGTGATGAGGAACTATGGTAAGGTGCTGCCAAGTCATCAGAGGGCCACCTTAGTCAGATCCTTTGGGCTACGGCTAAGGACGAAGGCCTGAAAGTGGCTATCAATTGGCACAACACAGATTCCTCATCTGCCAAAGGATTTCGGTATTCTTTTCCAAATGCACAAGAGTCTGAAGAAATGTTGTGTGGGAGTCACGTTGGGAGGGCGCATGGTAAAAGGCTTGAAGAATTAGAAACCATGTCTTCATTTAGTGAAGGGTTCATCGCCTTGCACAAATCAGACTTTCCTGCAGTTAAATCAGTGAAGTGCTATTGTGCTGGCAAAAAGCATACTTTTGTTGCTAAAAAGGAGAAACCTGTTTGTGGTTGTATTGGCCAGGGCTTTATACAAAATGCCAAATGGAACCTTACTGTGCATTAGTTGATCCTGGAACTAGCCCTGATAAATACAGAGAAACTATGCTGACTCTTGGCAAATACCATAACAAGGACATTCATGAATGGGAAGGGGGATTTTGTTCTTTTTATCCTTTGGTTAAATGTAGTTGTAAGGAGTGCAAGGCAGGTGAGAATGGGTTTTAACCAGACATGAAATGCCATGGCCAGCCATATCACTCTGCTCATTCCTGGAAATGTGACCTTCATGGACTTGCATATGAGAGAATGTGCTAAGAGGGCAAAAAATGCAGAAAAGGTAATAGATCCTGAGTTAGGAAAGGGTCATTCAAATCTTCCTGAATTGATATTCAGTGTCCTAACTAAATTTCGCGCCAAGGACACCAACCTGCACCAAAAGAACTATCTGGCATCCACAAATCTTGGACTTCTGCAAGCAAACATGACGTGGTGCTTCAAGAATAAAGAACCACATTATCACTGGATCATTGAACTCTATTCAAAGATATTTGACAGAATTCAAGAGATGGTAAGCATTTCTGCAATAAAATGTCAGAAAGTCATTGAAGAATATTTGAAGAATTACATCCGCTGAGTGCTGCCAGATGAGCCGACACCCACTGAAGAATGGTTACTTTCCCATTTTCCCGTTGTGCGTGCTGACAGGAGTACAACGAAAACGAGGATTGTATTTGATGCGTCACCTAAGTTTCAAGGAGAGTTTGAACAGCGAAGCGTTACCGGGACCGAAACTGCAAGCGGACATGTTTAGCATTCTAGTCAGATTTCGAAAGGAACTGGTTGCCCTGGTGGGTGACGTAAGTCATATATATCATCAGCTTGCCCTTACTCTTGAAGACAGGCCACTACACAGGTTTCTATGGAGAAATATGGATCAGAGCAAGGAGCCAGAAGTTTACGAATTCTTGAGATATGTGTTCGGAGGGTGTTACTGTCCTTTTTGTTCGCAGTATGTGTGGCAGAAGCATGCGGATGATCACAGAGCAGAGTATCCTCTAGCAGCTGAAGCGGTGAAGAACAGTTGTTATATGGATGACCTGATGCCTTCAGTGGAAACGGTGGAAACAGCAAAGGAGATGTGACAGCAGTTAACCGACCTTGGAGATAAAGCAGGATTTCACATTCGCAAATGGATCTCTCAGAAGCCTGAAGTTATCATGGACATACCAGAAGCTGATCAAGCAACTAAAGTGGATCTCGAAAAGAAAGAATTTCCAGTGATGAAGACCTTGGGAGTCGTGTGGATTGTTCAGGAAGACAAGTTCTCATTTTCCTTTGTTCCACCCCCAGAGGAATTGGTATTAACAAAGAGGAACGTGCTGAAGAAAACGGCCTCAATTTATGACCCCTTTGGATTTCTGATGCCCTTCGTAGTGCGAGCTAGAATGCTGATGCAGGAAGCTTGGATTGAAGCTCTCGGATGGGATGAAGAATTGCCAGATCATTTTAAAATGGAATGGAAAAGATGGTTCTGGGAACTTGGAGAACTTGGTGCGGTCTGTGTTTTACGATGTCTGAAGGAAGACAAGGAACTTCCAGATGTTACTATTCACACGTTTAGTGACGCGTCTGAGAAGGCTTATGCCGCAGCATCATACGTTCGCCATGAGTATGAAGATGGAACAGTTAGCACAAGATTAGTTGCAGCAAAGTCAAGGTTGGCGCCATTGAAGACCATGAGCATTCCGCGGTTAGAGCTCATGGGAGCATTGACTGGTCTCCGACTGACATTGAAGATATGTGCAGCACTGCAGCTTCCTAGGAACAAGGCCACTTTTTTGGGTGGACAGTGTAAATGTCGGGTTTTGGGTCCAAGGACAGAGTCGAAATTTTAAACCTTTTGTATCCCAACGGGTTGGGGAAATTCATGACAAGAGCAGTCCAGACCAATGGCAGTACGTTCCAACGAAACTCAACCCTGCGGATCAAGGGACTCAAGGAGCTTCAGTTCAAGAGCTAGTTAAGGATGACTGCTAGTGGTATGGACCCCTGTTTCTAAAACGTAGAGAAGATGAGTGGCCAGAGAGGAAATTTGGAAAAGCCCCAGAAGCTTACAAAGAAGTTAAATCAGCGAAACGAGAACAGCTCGTGGAAAAGGAGCTAAGAATGAATGCACAGAGCTATTACGTGGAAACAGTCAAACCAAAGAGCACACCAGACCCAATGTAGTATTCAAAATGGTACAGAACCAAGCCAAAAGGAAAGCTGGAGATCGGAATTTCTTTGGTGCGGGTGACTGGTTGGATTAATCAATTCTTAGCAAATGTCAAAAAGCCTCAAAACGATGGAGAAAGTGGGGAGTTGAACCCAAGGGAACTTAATCAAGCAGAAGAGCAAATCATCAGGGCGGCTCAGCAAAAGTGCTTTCCTGACGAGATAAGAGCACTTGAAAACAACAAGCCTCTCCCTCCCTCTACCTAGTAAGAGTACGAGTGAAGCGCTACCTTTGCTTATTTGTGTGTTTACAGACACACTGTTGTCATTTAGAAATGGCTGCTTCCCTGGGGACGGATGCTTTCTTAAATGTGCTGACGCGTATGGTGGCTAGACGAGAGTGGCCTAAGTTGATGCTCAGTGACAATGGAAGTAATTACGTCGGAGCAGCACAAGAAATCAAGGAGTTAGTGGATAGCATGGACCAAGACAAAATTCAAAGGCTTACTTCCAACCAAGGAATTGAGTGGCAGTTTAACCCACCAGAAGCGCCACACTTTGGCGGTGTCTTTGAAAGAATGATCAAGTCAGCCAAGAGGGCAATTTATGCAATTTTGAACGAAGCTGATGTCAATGATAAAGAATTACAAACCGTGTTTACTGGAGCCGAAAGTTTGTTAAATTCGAGGCCTTTAACTACAGTTAGTGGAGATGTCAATGACGAGCCTGTGCTGACCCCAAACCATTTCTTAATTGGCCAAATGGGTGGAGAGCTAGCCCCAGACACAATCGATACGACGGCAGTCAGTGTACGTAGACGATGGAGACGAATACAGGAACTGATTTGTAGAGTATGGAGTCGTTGGATGAGAGAGTATTTGCCAAGTATTGGATCCCGGCAAAAGTGGTTCCAACCTTCAAAGAATCTAACAGTGGGGGACGTGGTGTTGGTAATTGATCCAGATGCACCAAGACGGGATTGGAAGCTCGGACGAATAGAGGCAGTGCATCCTGGTAAAGATTGACTAGTACGAGTCGTAGACGTTAGAACCAAAGGAGGGGTGAAACGAAGACCAATTTCCAGAATTTCACCGTTGGAATTTGAAGATTACTAAGTGACCGGACAGAACAGTGAACTAACTAGCTATAGTCGTAAAGATTTGCATCATGACCACTTGTAGGAACAGTTGAACAGTTCACGATTTGTTTAGTCAGAGAATTTTAAGTCTAAATCTGACAGATTGAACCTTTTAACATTTGACATTTGAATTTTAACATTTGAACAGTTATTGGAACATTTGAACAATTTGCGTTATGTTTGTAAAAGAGATCGATTGAAGTGTTGGATTTTAGAGTCAAATGTAAATCCAGGAGGGGGAAAATGTTAAGGATTATTTCTTGTGCCTTTTTTCTAAAAGAATTGTTTGTAAGAGCGAACTGGAAGTGCATTTTTACCAGAAATTACGTTACGCACGGGAAGATTGATTGACAGTTTCAAATAAAAGTCCCCGGATTTAGGAAGGAGCGCTTACGCCATAGAAAAAAATCTTGTGTGGATGTTTGTCTTTTTGTTACGGGATTTTTTCAATGGGAACTCTGGACTTTTTTAGGAGGACTGAGAAAATTTAGGAACCTAAGGAGAAACAGACGTCACTTTTATGACTCTACTTACAGTGTTAAGTGTTCAGTTGCTAAAACCAGGCTCACACTCATCTTTAAACTGCATTTAAACTTTTGATTCGCAGTACACCGAAAGACACTGTCTTTCAGTAGCATACAACATTGTACATCTCAGCTACAAAATGAGTACAGTCATAGTTGTGTTGAAGAAAACTGTGACTGTCACAGATGTTCAAGTTGAATCTTAACAGGTTATGGGCCCAGAACGTTGCAACTGAGCTAGTCACCGAGCTGAAGTGAGCCAAAGAGATAGCAGTAATTCAGATGGTGATTGTGTTGGCTTGATGGTTAACCACGTGTTGTCGGTGAATTCCACTGGCCCCCTGAATGAATGGATCCTGATTTAAGAAGCAACCCAGAAGTAGCAACAAAAATCTATGAAGACAACCAATCAGCGATTTGCTTGGCCAAGAAGGTTCATGCAGGGCACATAAAACACATTGGAATCAAGTACCATTTCATCGAGGAAAAGGTGCAGAATGGAAATGTGGAGCTGAGCTGCTGTTGTACAGAGGAAATGGTTGTGGATATGCTTACTAAAGGCCCGGGTCGTGAACAGGAGAAAGATGAAATTAAAAATTAAGAAAGATGTCTGGATTGGATGAGATGCTGTCTTGTTCCACCTCTGAATGAGGAGTGTTGAGGAAGAAACACTTGCAGTAGAACAGACACGTTGACGTTGAGTACTTTGTTATGACTATTTGTTTATTTCAAGGACCCAATTAGAATATTATGTAATGTTTTCTAGAACTTTCTATAACAAGACAAGAACTCTATTAACAGGTTTTTTGTCTTCGCGTTATATAAGCAGTTTCAACATAACAGTGTGCTCTCTTTTGTCGTGGATTGATCTGTAACAGAGTTCTCTTAAGTTTCTGGTAGAAATTAAAGCTCAAGTTGCGTTTAAGAAACTTGTGGTTGTCAGACATTCAAGTTGAATCTTAACATTTTGCTCACATCTGTTTCTTCATTTCAAGCACCAATCCTCGCCGTGACTGGCTACAATGGATGAAGGAAAGGATTCATTTGTTACTCTTCAGATGAGTGTGATTTGAATTAATTTAGCCTTTCCGACGAATTTTTCCTGGGTATATCTGTTTAGGAGTTATTTAGGGTCGCTTTTAGTCCTCCTTTAGGCTTTGTGAGTCCCGCCTAAAAGCACCTCAGTTCACTGTTGCTACCATTTCCAATGGCTACAGGAGAACTAACCTTACGCCAGTTATCCCGCCCCATGTTTTTGTGCCCCCTGGCACACTTACATGTAGCTTTTAGTTTTATTTCATTTGCTGTAGTGTTTAATTTTATGGGTATAATTAAAGTGGGTTACGGCGTTGCGCCCAGGCCATATGCAATATTCTCCATGATTTGTTGCCTATATTGTTTCTTGTTTCTCTATTAACTTCTAGAAAGTGCAGAAAGAAAACCACCAAATTGAAACTGTTTCATTCAATGAGAATGTCGATATCTCAGACCTGAAGCAGGAGTCAAAGTCTCTGAAATGCATGAAATGAACAATCTTTGAAAGCAGTCACCTTATTTGGAAACGTATTTGAGAAGAAAAATGTTTGGGATTGTTTTTATTTTACAGATGATAGAAATAATGGGGGCAGCAGGTGTTTACTGGTATTCACACTAACGTGCATATTAGCGGAGCTCCACCCGCGCGAAGCGCGC